TTTCGCTGTCCCACTTGAAGTATCCCGCTTGATTCTCGATTTGACCTAAAGCCCACAACGAACGAGCAGGCCCGAATATTGAGATGTATGAGGATTCGACTGGGGTAAACCCTAAAGAGATTAGAACTCGACTTCTATAAATGGAAGGGGGGAACTAAACCCTAGAGGTACGCCAAAACACCTTAGTCTCTACACTCTAACTTCATTATCAATTTACTCTCCTTGCTAACTTAGGCATCGGAGCCCGTGTGACTGAAGTCACACTGGTTTAGGTTTGATTGGTTTTGCAGGTTCTCTATTTCCTGATTATCAAGTTTGATGCGAACCTCGGAAGGAACTAGGAGAGTATAATTCACGCATCAACAATTGGCGTCATCTGTGGGGACGATTTAGATCCAAAAGTTGAGACGATCAACAAGTCGATCGAGAATTGCTAGGACCCGAGAAGGGACGATTCAGATCCAAAAGTTGAGACGATCAACAAGTCGAGAAGGGACGATTCAGATCCAAAATTCGAGACGATCAACAAGTCGATCGAGAACTGCTCGGATACTGAGGACTGCTCAGATCCGAGAAGGGACGCCAGAAGTCAAGACGATCAACAAGTCGACTGAAAGTTGCTCAGGATCTGAGAGGGTCTAGGGTGTAGCGAATCAACAAAATCCATGACAGATCTTGAGAGAAACAAATTGACATGAATTCTTGAAACAGACGACAACATGCTGGAACCGAACGTCATACGACTAGGAGGCTGCCTTTACCCGAGACAGTCGAAAGTGAAACAGGTCGACAACTTCCTGAGCAGGCCCTGGGTGATACAAGGCGACAAATTCCAGGGCAGAAAGAGCAATAGACAGAAATTCCTGAACAGTAGGAGAACAAATGAGCTACTTTAGAAAAGAAGATTGCATGAGTGAACTGAAACATATCTCTCATTCTTGAGAGACTTGAGCAATAAGAGGAGAGTCCACCAGCACTTGTACGAGATCAACGAAAGGGCAAAGCTCTCGCGAGTGGAGACGAGAAAAAGTTGACGAACAACCCATTGGCACGGAGTAAACTGGTAATGGGAGGGAACGACAAACCACGGAATGATACTTTTCATCGACAGGAAACCCGACCAGGCCTCAAGAACATCACGCTCCATAAAGAAAAATCGCTTAGCCTGGTCGGGTTTCCTGTCGAGAACTGTAGCGGTTCATCCCGACCGTTTCGTAGTCCCACTCGGTTTCGTAGTCCCACTCGAAGTATCCCGGCTTGATTCTTGATTTGACCTAAAGCCCACAACGAACGAGCAGGCCCGAATATTGAGATGTATGAGGATTCGATTGGGGTAAACCCTAAAGGGATTAGAACTCGACTTCTATAAATGGAAGAGGGAGCCAAACCCTAAAGGTACGCCAAAACATCCTACTCTCTACACTCTAACTTCATTATCCATCTACTCTCTTTGCTAACTTAGACATCGGAATTCGTGTGACTGGAGTCACACTGATTTAGGTTTGATTGGTTTTGCATTCCCTGATTATCAAGTTTGATGCGAACCTCGGAAGGAACCGGTAGAGTATAATTCACGCATCAACAAAAATTTCATTCGGTGTTTTACAAAACAGGGAGAAGAAGTTTAACAGATTTTGAGATTGTTTCTCTTAGTTCTTTCAAATTGAAAGTTTCAATTACAAATCAAGCAAATTTTTATTATGGCAGAATTTGACTTTTCCTCCTTTTTCTTCCTCTCAAACCAACCTTCAAACTTTCAAAACAACAACTCACATTCAAAATAAAAAAGTGAGACTTCCATCAAAATCCACCTCCAAAATACATCAAACCCGAACTTCAGAATACATCAAAATCCAACTTTAACATCAAACTCACCTTCAAAATACATCAAAACTCAACTTCAAAATCAAACTCACCTTCAAAATACATCAAAACTCAACTTCAAAATCAAACCCACCTTCAAATTACATCAAAACCCAACTCAAAATCAAACCAACCCTCAAAATCAAACACACCAAAATAAGAAATAGAGATCTCCATCAAAACCCATCATCAAAAAAAAAAAAAAAAGATGAAAGAAAAGGGAGTTCGTGTCTCCCTCGTCGCTGCCATGGATTTCTTTTACCGCTGATGTTAATCATCGATGAAGAAAAATCTATCATCGCTGTAAATCGCTGCTCGCTGCCACCTTGATGCCTTGAGGGATGGGGAGCAGGGAAGGTAAGAGAAGGGAAGCGGTGAAGGGAGAGGGAGGAGAAGGAGAGGGGAGCGGCCGGAAGGAAAAGAAAGGAGAGAGAGGAGAAGGGGAGGGAAGCGACTCGAAGGAAAAGAAGGGAAGAAAAATAGGGTAAATGTGTTTAAAAGAATCGCTTGGAGGGAAGAAAAATAGGGTAAATCTGTTGAAAAGAATCGGTTGGTCAGACCCGAACCGAACCAACATAACATTTAACATAACCGAACTGAACTCTATCAATTCGGTTCGGTTCAGATTCTTGCACCCCTACTAACAATTCTATTTTTAAAAAACTAAAAAAACAAAAACGAAATGATTATCAAGTGGATCCACAGATCTATGTCTTAAAATTCAGGGACAAAAAATCGAATAAAATTGAATATTTATGAACTAAAACAAATATTTTGAAGTTCTATAGACCAAAATGAAATAATTTTTGAATGGACTAAAGTTGGATTTAAACTGTATTTTTTATTTAATATTTTTGTAATATTTTATATGCTAGATTTTACCGCTACCGCTAAACCAAAGTGCATGTTTTCTAATTTTATATTGCAAGATAATATTTGTAAACATAATATATAAAAGTTTTATTCTGATTTTTCACAATCTTACATTTGGATGGATTTTTATTTCTGTTCTCTCCTTTTCAATAACTAAACAGAGCACATTTTTCTTATTGGATTATGATTTCATAAAGGATGAGACTTTATGGAAAATGGCTCGGATTATTAAGGATACACCTCGATGAGAGACCTTAAACCCAACATAGAAATTATCTTGTAGTCACTAAAACCCGCTGCTAAGAAGAGATTCTTCCATTCGCTTTCATTTCTCTCTCTACCAGTGACAACTGACATCGTAAACACATCTTCACATAGTTGAGTTTCAATTGACTCCTTGTCTTCTATTTGATTCTCCGTCACCATCTCTATAATTATCACTTTTCCACCCTCGGCTCTACTTGGAATTGCATCTTTACAGTTCTTCAATATTTTAATACTCTTTTCATCATTCCAATCGTGCAAAACCCACTGATTATCAAAATCCCCAAGAAAATACTCGAAGGTTAAAAGATGACTTTTACTAATTTTAGAAATATGATTAGAGGAAGAATATACCTTGAGTAAGACTGCATTTGCTGGTGGAATTTTTGCTTCAAACATGTTTCCTGCAATGAAATTCAAGTTTTCTGTGGTTTGTTGGAGGTTATCAACCACATGTGGGAGATCAAATACAATGCAAGTGATGTGTGGGAATGCCTCTGCAATGGCCTTGGCCATGAAGCCTCTGTTGCCACCAACATCGACCAACGATTTTAACCCTTTGAACACCCGTCGACACTCCCTCGTCACTACCCTCCCAATCAGTTGAGAATCATACATCATTGCCTTATTTAATATATTGCTAAAATCAGGTTCTTGTGCAACATAATCCCATACTGACTTATCGTTAGTGGTTTCAAAGGCACAACTATGACGTTCATCTGTGCTACGGAACCAGCTGCTCATGGTTTCATATGAAGCCATCATTGCTTTATTGAAAATTAAAAGCAAGAGGGATATGTGTTCAAATGGCGTGTTGTGGCGGAGGAGAAGACGAGAGGTCGACGTGAGAGTGTACTTCACTTCTTGCTCATTCTCATCGTGAGTTTGAACAAAGAAGCCAGAATGAACTAGCAAGCTCATGAGTCGGCCAAGACAATGAGCTTTAAAGGGTTGAATATGGAGTGCTCCCACTAAATTGGAAAGGCTCATGGGTTCGCCATGGCTATGGATGATGTCGGGTATCCCCAATTCAACAGCACATTTTAGAGACATAGAGTCCATATATCTGTAAGCGTGATTCCAAACATGGGCTTGAGCTTTAAGCAATTCTATGTTGTCTCCCATTACTTCCCAAACTCTCAACTATGTCACACAAAGACTTGATTTCAATTGAAGAACCCGGCCACCTCTATATATAGGCAAGAGCTGCCAACTTCCATAATCCTTTAATCTATTGAAAATAAATCTTGCTTAGTGAAACTAAACTAATTTTAATTAATCTAGTTGTCTTTTGATATGATTTGATATAATTTGAATTATTTCATGATTGGTTTTTTTGTGTTTGCAATTATGGCTTGGATATAGTTTAGGATATGATTTAAGTTTCCAATTCCTTGATTGAAGTATCTAAATTTATTTGATTTAGATGTTACTTGTTTTAGTTGTCTTCATCCTATTATAAATGGATGGGTAGGGTTGTATCCAATTTGAGGATTGAAATCAATAAAATTGTATAGTTATTTTACCTATTTTCTCTCCTCCAAAATTTAGTAGTGTTACATAAATAAATCAACTCGTTTACTAAATATATTATGATATTATAACAAAGTTGATTTTGGTAGAAACTCACATATAAATTGTCCACCTCCCCCGTAGCTGAAATAGTGAAGATATATATTTAGTCTTCTTTTGATTTACTCTTGTAACCTCCACATTTCATTTAGTTTGGTAATCCTAGGTTATTTTTAGTTGTTAAATCTCTTTCAACGTAAAAGTATATACTTATAAACCATTACAAAACCTCAATATTTTTACTAAGAACTACTACAACTAAAAAAGAAGATATTTGACCAAAAAATTGGTGGACCTATAATAGCCACAATCGTGAAGGAAGGTAAGTACCTCACGTCAAAAAGACAAGAGACTTAACAAGGTATATAAATATATGGGCTATTCTTTTCTAGTCATATCAATATTAAGACACAAAAAAATAAAAAATAAATAAAACTCACCTATGGATCAAAAAATTGCTGATCATCTTTTTCCCACCCAAACCACACGCATAACTATTTGTATGCTTATTAAGTGTGAAGAGTGTGAAAAATGCTATCAAAACAAGCATAGTTGAAAGATAATTAGTATATTGCCTGATTTATCTGTACGCTTAAAAATATTAGAAAAGTCGGTAAATGTCCATTTTTCTTCCAAAAGTGAATGTATGAGTCATTTGTGTGGATGTTAAGAAACGTCATAAATGTTGGAAGAAATCTGTAAATTTTTGTTTTTCACCTCAAAAAACGCACACAACTACTCTTGACATTTTGTAAGTATCAAGAATTTTGAAAACTTCTACTCATTTGTGACGATTAAAAGACGTCAAGAATATGTAAACTTTCTGTTTTTCCAACCACAAAATGCGTGCACAACGGCTATTTGTGACGTTGTCAAGTGTCAGGAAATCCAAAATCGTGTAACTTTTTTTGCGGGGTTCAAAAAACATCATAAATACATAAAAATCAGAAAAAACTCCATTTTCTAGCCAAAAAAAGAAAAAGAAAAAGAAAAAAAGCCTAAAATCTTTTGTGACATTTCTTTATATTCAACTTTTGTTTGTTGGATGGAAAATAAACATTCACAAATAATAAATTAATTTAACCCATCATTTAAACTCAATTAAGTTTCCTTCTCCGAGTATCTATATATTCAAATGCATGTACCAGCCTCTACCCCTATCCATTCAATTCAGAATTTAATGGTGTTTCTATACCCGTCAATTTAATTACTTCATAATTTTATTTTGTCAATGTGAATATAGTTCTACTAATCAATATACTTTTATAATTAAAAGATCAAGTCTCCATCCCCGTACTGAAAAAATTCTATTTTAATCTTGAAAATTCATTTAAGTCTCTAATCATTTGGTTTATATACATCTTTCTATTTATAATATATCTATTTAGTATATAACTTTAGAAAAATGGAAAAAATTATATTTACACCCTTACTTTTCGGTTATAGTTTTATTTAACCCCTTAGTTTATATGGATTTCTTTTTTTATCTGAGTTAAAATTAAATATATTTTTTTCCTTTTTTCTAATGGAATAGTTAAAACTAAAGAGGTGGGTTTTAGGTTACTAGTTTATGTTCAAGGGAGTAAATTGAATCTATTTGAATTTGGATGGGACAATTGTCCTAAGATGTTTAAGCTGAAAGGGGAACTGCGTGTCTACTTCATCGTGTCATCATTAGGAGGGATGTCGCCGATGTTGGTGGGGGGAGGGACTGGAGTCTGTGGGTCTCTTGACTAAAAAGAATTAAGTTATGTTGTCTCTTGAAAATACAAATAATATATTTTGAATCACATATTATACGTGACGACTTGTAACAGATTTTTTTTAGAATCTCATGCAGTTTAAGGTGTTTTTTAAAAGAAAACAAATTTTAAATTAAATCTTACTAAAGATCTAACAAACCCGTTTAAAAGAAATTTAACGAAATCTTAAAAAAAAACTAATTAAAAAATAATTCATTTAAACGTTTAAAATTTTAATTAAATCTACGAACCAATTTTAAGAAGACTTAAAATAAATAAAGAATTGGACCAAAATTAAATTTAAATGATGTTATCTGGTATAAATTCTCTAAAATGTAATCATATTAATTTCTTTTAGCTCAACCTCGAAAAAAAAAAGGTTTTTAAGGGCCGGTAGAGAATTTAGACCTTTTTATTGTTTTCAGATTCATTGAATCAATTTGATTCAAAAATGTTTTTAACTTGTGTACAAAGAGTGGAAATTATAACGACTATTTTTAAAATACAGAGTTACATTTTAAAATATAAGAACTTTGAAAAATACATGGGTAGACTTCTGTGTTAAAATTAAAATATATAAAATATAATATATTATATAATATATAATATTATAAAATATTAATTCTTACAAAATTTATAACATTTTTTTGTTAATAAATTAATTAATAGTATTTTAGATTAAATTAAATATCTAATATGTAACACTTACAAATATATTACAAAACACATTGATTTTTTTTCAATTGAGATTCAACTTTTATATATACTACCAGACACATAGCATAAATTAATTAATAGTATTTTAGATTAAATTAAATATTTAATATGTAACACTTACAAATGTATTACAAAACACATTGATTTTAATTGAGATTCAATTTTTATATATGCTACCAAACACATATTTGAAAATGTGGAATTCAACTATGTTTTCAATTTCCTGTTCTTAGATCACTAACCAAACATACCCTTACTTTCTTTTTCTACCATCATATATTATCAATTTTAGCTTTTCCAATAACAATTTAAATTTAAATTTCATCTAATTTTTTAGTTAAATTTAGTTTAAATTTTAAATATTTAATTAGTTAAATCTATTTTTAATTAGTTTAGAACGTTTTTTAATGGATTTATTTTAAGATTTTGTTAAATTATTTTAAACGATTTGTTAGATTTTTTACTTAGAATTAATTTTAAAATTTTGTTCTTTTAAAATAGTTAAATAATTAGTTTTACTTTCTAACAATATTAAAGCAAAAAAAAAGTAAAAGTCCTTCCAAATGCCCAAAATTTTAATACTAATAATAAGCCATAAATGAGCCCAATAAATATGTATCATGAATATCAAGCAATAAATTCATACAATAGTAAATATAGTGGTTATAAAAAAATATTATATAAAATATCAATACAACAACCCATTCTAGCGATTTTCTTTTTTAAATATTTTATTTTTTATAACTTTTATATATATAATATAATATGTAGGATTGAGGATTCAAACTCACATCGTTTTGATCAATGTATAAAACAATTAAGCTACGTTCAGGTTCACAAACTAATGATATTATTATTGTAGTTTGAAATAGATGGTAGAAATGAAATTGTCTCTTCGAAAAAAAATTGATTTTGCCACACATATGACATCGTCTCTTTTAATCGTTTTCTTCAAATGACGATTTAAGAAAATGATATTGTCACACGTATTAGGCGTGTGTTAGGTAGTGATTTTGACATGGACAAAATCACTTTTGTCCTTATCAAAATCATTTTCTTTTTCATCAATAATGTTTGAAAAATTAAAAAATTGATTTTAAGAAAGCTTAAAACCACTTTAAATTGATTTTAAGATATTACTTTAATGGTAATTTTGAAAATTCAATTATACTTTAATGTATTTATTTTTTAAATCACTGTTACTCTCAAATACACCCTAAATTCTCTTTGAATCGCTTTCTTCAAATTACTATTTAGGGACGAATTCAGTAAATGATGTTGCACACGAGATTGACCCATTAGAAATAAATGTTTATGCAAAGATGTGCACAACAGTGTGTTCCTGATTGTAGCTCGAACTCGGCCTCCGTACCGACCTGAACCTTTGGGCGGACCTGCACAAAAGGGTGAGCACTCCGACGATCAAGTCAGTATAGGTCGGATTACAAGTTTAGTTCGAGGCCAGAAATCATCGTACCTGATCGTGGAGTGAGGTCTTCTACTTATGGGTGGTAGTCCCGCCAATCTTGCGACGGTTACACCCGGTAATCTCGGGACCGTCGGTTACGCCCGGTGATCTCGGGACCAACGGTTACGTCCGGTAATCACGCCGCAGACAGTTGCTCACATCGGCCCCTACCGAGCCTCTGGGCAGGTCGGACCTGAGCCAGGTTCACCTCGGCCCTCATACTTAGCTTTCGCCAGCGTTGGTGGCAGCCATCTCGGCTATCCGAGCTAGGCATGACTCATGGGCCATCTTGGAGCACCAATAGGGGTCCTCCACGTGTCCAGGGTACTTAATCCCCAAACAGAAATTATCATTTGGAGAAAATTTTCATCCCGCTTTGAACAATACAAATCGTTACGAGGGATAAATCAATATTTCTATATATCACACGAAAATTGGCAAAAGATAATAAAATATTACTAATTAATACAATATTAATATTATTAATTTTTAACTTATTAAAAAGAGTTTCTATAAATATTTCAATAAAGCTGAGAAATTTTTCATCAAAATCCACGTTTACTCACCCATCCAATTATTTATAAATTTTGAGCTGCAGTCTTCCAGCTTTAGAAGCAACAATATTGCAACTTTTATTTTTTCTGTTAGTTTATATGGGTGCGT